AATAAAAGATGGGGAAAATGCTGTGCTCATTGTTTATATTTTTTTTGTGAAATGTCCCTGCACATAGATAGCTCTGCTAGTGCTTAGCCACAAGGGAGTCAATTAGTAGACCTTGTGACCCTTGTGAATTGGCAAGGAAAATGTATTTTTTACTAGTGCCATGAATATCGATGGTATAATTTTTATTATAAACATTCTAACTATAACTATAATGTTATAAACATAAGTAACAGCGAAATATTTTCGTAAATCAAAGAAAAGGGTAAACGGGTGAGACAGGCAGTACTTGTAACTGGCTCATTGGTGACTTAGTACAAATGTTGCCATCTATGTGTAAAAAGAATTAAACAAGGAAACTCATAGTGGGCATAGCATACACATACATGTCATGCCCATTGGCATTGGTTTAAATAGAATTCTATAATTTATATTATATTATACCTTATTCACAGTCCCAGTACTTTTGTTATATTTCAAAAATGCATTAATTTTGTTACTGTAACTGAATAATTAATGATTTCATACATATTCATAAAATATTTCATATTTTGATAATAACTATACACTGCATTGTAGCCAGTAGACCCTCATCTTTATAATTTTATAATTTGATTAATGAAGGAAAGTTTTTACTGCTGTAGAAGGTGGGTTTTGGATAATGGCAACACTTCTAACAGCAGCAGTAGTGCATGTTTCCCATGGTGCTTCGTGCAAAGGAGCAGTGGTCAGTCAGAATCAGGCCACCTGCATGCATCAATTTCTTGTGTTCCTTTTTGTTTCCTGAATAAACCTAAGATAGCAAGCCAGCTGTTTGCCATACCCTCATCCTACGTCTCTAACAAAAAACATTGTTACAAATGGAATTAATTTATATTATTATTATTATTATTATTATTATTATTATTATTATTATTATTATTATTATTGGTTATTATTATTAATTATCTCTCACACAGGCACACATTTCAAGCTGATATTTATTTTAAATGATGTCTTGTGTACTCCCCTTGATAATATCCACACACTTCATCACATCAAAATAAGGTATCTCGACACTTTTCCACTCATACTCTTTTTTTTTTTCCCTTACAGACTGTGCATCATGAGTACCTGCATGTAGTGAATAAGGTGGTCAATAAAATTGACAAGAATACCAATGAGTTGTTAGAAAGAATCTTCCCTGGTGATATAGCATTGATACTGGATGGTGGGCCTCAGCAAAGTGGCACAGATAATGGAGGAAACACCAGCCATCAACAGGACAGCTTGGAAAGCCTAGAGGAAAAGGTGGAACGCCTTGTCAATGCGAGAACTACACTGGTTGAAACGACAAATGGTGAGCAGCAAGACTTGCGTTGCTTGGGAGGGTGTAAACTATTTCTCTTGGTCATTGGTTTTCTTTTTTTATGGGTTTTGCTGAAGGGTATGATGAGTTGTATCTTCAAGTTACTTTTTATTTGTAATATGTTTATTTTGTTAAGTACTGCATTCTGTATTTTTTTTTTTTTTTTTTTTTTTCATAATCTATTTTATTCCAGACTTTGAAGTAAAGCTGAAGGAATCCTTGACTTTGGAGCTATCGTCAGTTGGCCATGAATTAGAGAAAGTGGTATGTATTTCAAGAGGTCTCTTCCTCTTTTTTGTGTGCTCAAGATCATATTTGCAAATAGTTCTATATGTGTATTTATTTGATTAATTGTTTTTTCATCTAAAAGGATGTATCTTTTGTATACATATATTATTCACCATTACTAGCTTCCAGAAAATACAATGTGTTGTTACACTGCTGTGTTCCATGGTACATCAATCTAGAAAATCATCCATGCATATAGATTGATATATATTCATCATTACTTTCCTTAGGTGAAGAGTGCTGCCACAGAGGAAATAGGAGAGACCAAGCAGGCGTCATCCACAGCTGAACCAAGAGGAGTAGATGACCAGTTTGTGGAAGAATTCATGGAAATTACAAAGCGCCAGTTCGAGGGAGACCAAGCAGAAAAGGTAACGTTGTATGGTCTTTTGTTTTCGTGAGGTTCATTTAAATCTTTAGATCTGTTTTTTTTATGAAGTAGAAAGATCACTTAATTTCTTGAATGGATAATGTAGAGGTCTGAATATATAAGATTTTTTTTTTTTTTTTTTTAGAAATTGGTGATGCAATTTAACATTAATTTGTATATTGTTGCATAGTCTTTAAAATTCATCAACATCGTAGTTTCTGATATAAGAACTAACTAGTTTCTCAGTTTTTTATAATTTAATGCCATGTCAACATTTTCAGCTCCAGCTTTTGGAGAACCAGAAGATGATGATTCATAAGATTCTAGAAGATGACAAGGCAAAGTTGCATAATATTTGCAGTACACACATTAGCAACTTGAACAGTGTTGCTTCTGTACCAGGTGTGTTGAAACATTTTGGTATTTTTTGCTCACATACTTTATTTTAGACTAAGCTGATTATTATTATTATTATTATTTTTTTTTTACTGTAGATTAATGGAAATATTAGCATTTGTTAAGATATCTAAGGAGTATATTTTTATATTTCCGGAAAGAAAGAACTTGACAACGTTCCTTTTATATTAGGAATTATGAGGTCATTGTGTTGTAATGCACTTTTTCTGCTCTTTTGCGGCAAGAAAACTAATATGAAAATGAAGATGTAGATATATAAGGTATTTTTCAGGGAAGAGGAGCCCCATTAGTTCCTAAAATCACTGCTGAAGTCTGTCAGTCTGATATAGTTCAGTCACTTGTTATTTGCTAGGGGTTTTAATAAATATTTCATGGTAATAGATCATGAAATTGATGATATTGCTAAACCTTTATGACTGGGTTCCTTTATTAGATATTTTATGATACAAAAAGTAGCTTCACAGATGCCAAGATAATTTGTATTTGTAATTTTTTTTTTCTTTTCACAGATGCTATACAGCTAGTCAATACCCTGGTGAATTCCTTAGAAAAAACACTATCGGAGGAGGTGTCATGGGTCGAGCAGCAGTACAAAGAGCTCCTGGAGCAATACGCTTATGAGCAGAAACTCGTCAGACAGACTTACTTCCAAACCCTGACAGAACTGAAGCTCAGGCTGGATACTTTGCTGGTTGAGTGTAGGAGACAGGTATGGTTGTCAGTCATGTTGGAGAGGAGATTAATTTTTTGGTGAGAGCTAAAAAGTGTAGCATGTTCCTGTGATGAGTTTACTGTAACGATACCAGATGCCTTGTCAATCAAAACCAGGGATGGGAAGTTGTAGAAGTCTTAGAAGTCTTTGATGCTTGGGTGTAGTGAAGCTAGTTACCTTGGTGGTTGAAATTTCAAGTTTTCAAATTTCGCTCTTATGTGAACAAAATATATGAACCTTGTCTTGCTGTGTTTGGTTAACTTCTCTTGAGAAAGCAGTCATACTAGAAAGGAAGTTGCTTTCTATATTGTTAACCTGTTTCTGCTGGGTCGTGTGTATAGCCGTCCTAACAAACTGTGTGGACTGTGGGGTACGACTATATGCATGGACTCTCCCGCCCAGTGGGGGAGGGGTTAATTGTGATGGTGATACATGTGATAGGAAATAGTTTTTCAAATTTCGCTCTTATGTGAACAAAATATATGAACCTTGTCTTGCTGTGTTTGGTTAACTTCTCTTGAGAAAGCAGTCATACTAGAAAGGAAGTTGCTTTCTATATTGTTAACCTGTTTCTGCTGGGTCGTGTGTATAGCCGTCCTAACAAACTGTGTGGACTGTGGGGTACGACTATATGCATGGACTCTCCCGCCCAGTGGGGGAGGGGTTAATTGTGATGGTGATACATGTGATAGGTTATAGAATTTAATTTAATTTTATTTTTATTTTATATATATATATTTATTTATTTATTTATATGCAGCTGTTAGTAGACAAATTTTTATTATGCTAAGGCTAATGCATCACATATTATTTATATGTGATGCATAGATTGTATGGATAACTCAAATTTTCCCTTCATATTCATTCTATAGAAGGAGGCTGGACTCTCTGACGAGTCATCCCTTGGTGCTGAAATGGTGAAGATGAAGGAAGAGCATGCCGCAGAAGTAGCCCACCTTGAGAACCAACTGGCGGCGCGAGATAACGAAGCCCTGGTGAGATGTCTTGTTGTTATTGAGTCAGAATACATTCATTTGATGTTGGAGAAAGGAGGCACTAACCAACTGTTCTTCACAGTATGTTTTTGTGCACATTCCATTTTGTGAGTGATGTGTGTAATAATTACACTTGAATTATGTATTGTGATGTTAAAAGAAACTTTGTTGTGCTTATTTATTTACTATTTTTTTTTAATATAATATGTAATGCTCTTTCACTTTGACCTATATCTTGTTTGGAATCACATATAATGTGATTGTGCAGGGGAAAATACTTTCTTGTATGCTTGACTATTCAGTTGTAAACTTGAGTTCGATAGGGTAAGAAATTTAAAATTAAAATATCTTAACTTGATAGGCATTTAGTGACCAAATTGTTACTGAGAAATTAAGAGTATTTATTATGTTGATGGTATGCAACAGACCTTGTTTTGGATATACTTTAAGATTTAGATCAAAGGATATATATATACATAGAGTTTTCTGTGTTCATTTTGAAAATTTGTGAAGGTAGAGTAGTTAATAAACTGTAGTATTAGTGCATTTTGCATGTGAAAATTCTATTCAGAATCATATCTAGTAGAGCATGTCCCCCCCATTAATATGTTACATAAGAGGAAGGTTTATTATGAAAGGAGTGGCATAATTTGATGCCCTTTAATGGTGTAATGTTTTATATGTTTTTTAAATTCATATAACATGCTGGTATTCTGTCTTGTTGTCATGTTTTTGAAAGCTATCAAGTAGATTTAGTAAGAACGGGCCAGTGAGAACCCAGTGGAACTTAAATTCTTGACCAGAAATGTATGTCTCTTGCAGCCAAATGACTAATCCTGGAACTGGAACAGGTGGCAAGCTTTGGTTTGAGACCTGGGTGAAGGTTTTGGGAAAAAAACGCTTTTTGTAGTATGGTTTCTCGGGTTCTAAATTTTCCTATTGTTGTACATGATTGTGTTCATATCTGGCAACCACATATGAAGCCCCGGGAATGAAATCTATGACAATATTTCGTTATAATTGAAGAATCGAAGGCAAACCTGCATGTGGCACTACATGATACCCATGTGCAGTTTTGACTCCAATTGTAGATTATAATGACATGAAGTCACTGGATGAAATATTTGATATATATTAGGATGAAAAGGGAAAGACTTGGCAAGTCTAACATATTATTCCTTCCTAGAAAAGCCAGCTGAAAAAGTAAGAAAGATTTAGTGGAGGAGAGAGAGGGAGGGGAAGGGGGAGAGGAAGAGGGAGAGGGAGAGGGAGAGGGAGAGGGAGGGAGAGGGAGAGATGGGAGGGGGGAGAGGGGGGAGAAGGAGGAAGAGAGAGAGGGGGGCAGGGGAGGGAGGGAAGGAGAGAGAGGGAGAGAGGGAGGGAGGGAGGAAGAGAGGGGGGCAGAACTAACATGCTGGCATGATTGCAACCATACTTTGCACACACCCAACAAATAACAGTTTAGCTGTATACTTGCTCAACTCCCCTTCTACAGTTGTGATGAATGGGCTTGCCTTATATGATGCATGTTGCAACTGTATCAAAGCATATTGAAATGCTTATAGCAAATAATAGAATAATACTGGCAAGGTTTGTCAAGAGGACCTCGTGACCTTTGATTGCTGGCTATTACCTAATTTCATGAAGCTGGCAAACTAATAGAATGACTTTTTATATGAATTTATGAAAGATGTGATTCATGCCTAATATCATTAGACTAAGGCACTCTTATGAAAAAAAGGTCTAAGTGGTAACCAGATTTAGCATTCAGTAATTTTTTGTGTGTGTGTTTTGATTGATTTAAAGATAAAAGATAATTTTTTTTTTTATTCATTTGTAATTGCTTGGTTAAAAGAGGGCAGAAGTTGTATTTAAGAAATTTGATATTCTACATTTTCATTTCCAAATATTTTGACGCCTACAATACCTCATTTTACAATAGCTATTTTCAGTGCATCCACGTTCATTGTTTTCACTGACTTATTTTTTTTAAGAGATTCATTTGACTCCAGACTTCCTCTCCATGAGTTTTACATTTGGATGTGTATTTTGAATCACGGATCAGTGAGCCTCATGTAATACCAGCCTTTATGCATGCTTCTGGGAGCCAGATGGCCTTAGATGACGAGGTGGATCAGCTTCGCGCTCAGATTGACCGCGATCTAAGCATTAGGTCTGACATCTCTCGCACATTGTGTTCTGAGCTTGAGAACATCAAGATTCAGGTCACGCAGGTACTGAATTGCTTTGGTGTTTAGAATTAGTACAGGTGCTTCTTGTCTCCCATTGTGTTTGTTATGGGGGCCTAGGCAGCTCCAGTGTGGGTATTGGGGGTATGTTGTGTGACCGTTTAAGGCATGCTTGTGGGTTGCTGGGTTGTAGTTTTTCTGGTTCGGTTCTTGGGGTATTCTTGCGCAGTGCTGACGCGTTGCTGCATTGCCTTTGATTTAGGCTTTGGCAATGAGCTTAACCCTTATGATTTTGCTTTGCTGATTTCTTCTTCTTCTTCTTCTTCTTCTCTCTTTCTTTCTCTCTTCTTAATTATGTGGGTGCATGGTTTGCATTAAGGGGGAAAAGTGAACCTTTTTCTCAGCATTAGATGCGCACACACACATGCATACACACACGCGCACACGTACACGTACACGTACACGCGCGCACACGCACACACGCGCACACACACACACACACACACACACACACACACACACACACACACACACACACACACACACACACACACACACACACACACACACACTTACACACACACACTTACACACACACACTTACACACACACACTTACACACACACACTTACACACACACACTTACACACACACATACTTACACACACACACACACTTACACACACACTTACACACACACACACTTACACACACACACACACACTTACACACACACACACACTTACACACACACACACACACTTACACACACACACACTTACACACACACACACACACACACACACACACACACACACACACACACACACACACACACACACACACACACACACACACACACACACACACACTTACACACACACACACACACTTACACACACACACACACACTTACACACACACACACACACACACTTACACACACACACTTGCACACACACACTTACACACACACACACATTTACACACACACACACAATTACACACACACACACACACACTTACACACACACACTTACACACACACACTTACACACACTTACACACACACACACACACACACACACACACACATACACTTACTCACACACACACACACACTTACTCACACATACACTTACACACACAATTACACATACACGCATTTACACTTACTCACACACACAATTACACATACACGCATTTACACATACAGCGCACATATACATATACAGTATATGCATATATATATATATATATATATATATATATATATATATATATATATATATATATATATATATATATATATATATATATATATGCATATACATATGTATATGCAGGTCTGTATATGTACTTTGTAAGCACTATAGTTCATAAATAATAGAAAAATCATTGAAAGATATCTTTATTAGACTCAGGTTTGGAAATTAATGGTGAAGACTGAAATGAAAAAATAGTTTGCTTTAGTTTACACTTTATAGAAAAGATATGGCGGTTCCTTTTCGTATGCAATATTTATTCTATTTTGTTTTGCAGTAGAATGTAGAATATTGAGGTGATATTCTTGCATTTGTCTTTTTCATTCCTTTAGTAAAAGAAATAGTGTATGAATATATATATATTTTTTGTAATAATTTGTAGAAGTTATTATGCATGGTATTGTCCTGTTTAGTGCCTGTATTGCAGGTATTGTGTATTTACAGTTTTGCAATAAGATTTTCTTTCAGTGGGATGATTGAGGAAAATGTTCTTGATTTATTTTTTATGCAAAAGAATTATTACCAGCCTTTGTTTTAAAATTTGTAGTCTGTTTATATACACTATTATATGTCAGAGTCCAGAGATGCTCATGAATATTCATTATACAGGTAAATGACAACTCGCTCTAGTCTGTTGGTAGAATATTAGAAAACCCACTATATACAAAGTAGGTTTATTGAAAAATTTAAACTGTTGTATCATCTTTCATTAAACTTTTTTTTTTACCACATTATACAGGAGTTTATGCATATAGAGTAGAGCTTACCAGAATATTTATCACCATTTTAAATTATAGTTTTTATTTGGTTCTGGAATATGCATGTCAGATTTCGGGTGAACGGTTTTGCGCTATAACTTTTTTATTTTGGAGCGGTATGTAGTTTGAACCTTTGGGTAGTGAGAGAATTTCCATTTTTATGTTGCTTTTGATATTTTTGTATTTTGTATTTTTTTTTTCCTTTTCCCTTTTCTTTGGCTCTCTTGATTAAGTAGTTTTGTTCTCTTAGGGCAAGAATAAAAAAAGGAAAGCATATGAGCTGAAGTGACAAGTTAGAGATGCAAAACATAGACGTTATCTGATTTCTTGTTCATTTGGTGCCCCCCCCTAAGATTTGTTAATTTTAGTAGGAAAAGGAGCATGTACAAAATATTGTTATTTATTCATTTTTAGTTTATATATTTTCATCAGATAATGCAGAGTCTTGTCCCTCTCGAATTAATAACATTGGTATGTTTTGCTTATCCCCCACCCCCCAAGCAAACTTGTTAAAAGTTTATACTTCATTTAACTGTTTAGTTATGATTAGAAAAATTCACTGAACTATTTGATTGAAATTCTTTTTCTTAAGTATTTTTACATAATTGCATGCATTGTCCAAAGGAAGGAAAAGGAAAAAATAAATAAGAAAAGGCTTGGGTAGTAACTAGACAATACAATATGGTAATGTTTTCAATTTTCCTGTATATTCTCTACTGTACATCTTGATTATATCGCTGATAGATTACGATAATTGTGCATGATTTATATTTATGTTTATACTTCACATATGTGGTTGTGTACTGTATTTGCATCTGCCGATTTAGTTTCGCTACTGTAGATGGACTAACCTTTTTCTTCTCGTAACCTTCCTTATCCTTGTGTTGGTGTCCCCCTGCTTGTCTTGCGTAGCTGGAAGATGCACATGTGAACCTCAACAAGATTATAGAACCAGGAATTGATGTAAACTCTCTCCCATTCCAGCGGCATCTACAATCTCTATACAGTGACAGGTTAGTGGGCTGTGATGAGCTTCCTTTTTCTATTTGGTCTTGATTTTTTGGTCTTATAGTGGTTTGTAGAAGATATTTAAAGAATGATTGGTTCTAGACTAAATTTTGTTTGATGATAAGCATCACTGTTTTACCTTACAGGGATTGGTACAAGAAAACTGTAGGTCTCCTCTCTCATGTGACACTACAGTTGCTGCACTACTACAGTGTGGCTGAGACTTACATGCGGAAATCCCGTGGCGCTCCTTCTCACGATTCTCTCCCGTACCAAGAGGTAATGCCGGGCAAGGTCTTGGATCTCTCCTTCCTGTCAGACTGCGTGCAGGATGAAAGTGAGGCGAACCAGTATACTACATTCCCTGAGGATAGTGCTGTGTCAACTGGCCTCATAGGGAAGACCGTTGAAGCAGATCATGGTGAAGAGACAGAACTGGGGAGCAATGCAGAATCAATGCTTGATAGCACAGCGATGAGCGAGGGGATGCTGGATGACATGGACAAGGATGAGCAAGTCCGCCAAATCCTCACAAAGTCCTATCCACAGCTTATGTCCATCCTGAAGGGGCGTTGGGACCGTGTCATGGTGGATCATCTGGATAAAGAGGTCCAGGAGCTGACCATCTCTCTCCAGGCATCAGCAGGGATGCTAAAGATCTTTTTTCTTTCAGTGACTGAGAGTCAAGACCTCTCTTCACATACCATCAGGGATGAAAGTAACATTGACAATGCAAAGGAAAGCTCCCTTGAACTCTCACAGCACTATATAGATGCATTTCCTGATCATTCAGGGCAGCCTAGATCAAGTGATCAGCTGTATGGAAACACAGATGAATCCTTAACAGATACAGAAAGAGCAAATCAGCTCTCAAAGTCACAACTAACTAGTCATTTTAGTTCAAAGTATCCTGAGGACTTCTCTCAGAGTCTGACTCAGTTACTGTGCCATGATGATTCCTTCATTAACTTGACCAAACTGAAACCCCAGGATCTGTGCGATGAAGAGAAACTGAAGCGGGCAATTGTTCAACTTTGCCGAAATGCAGAAGCTACAGATAACCTTCAGCTGAAGCTCCATCACCTTGATGGTCTCTTGAAGGGCTGTGAACAAGAGAAAAATGTGTTGGAAGAAGAAATTGAGCATCTCAATCACTGCAACAAGAATCTTGCAATTGAACTCCAGGTATGAACCTCTCAAGAAAAGGACTTTTTTTTCTTGGATTTATACACATCATGATTTTACTTGAGTATAAAGAAAGCAAGGATATAGAAACTTATGAGATTTACCCAAAATGGGAAGTGAGATATAGTTATTATAGTCACTTAACTTATACACATGATTAATGTGTTTAAAACAAATCCACTATTTACAGACTGCAAAAGATCAGCTGGAAGAGTTTGAATTAGTCCAGCAAGGCAAAGGCGGAGCAGGTACAACCCAGTATGCAGCCAGAATGGAAGCTTCTAAAGATATTAAAGAAAGAGGTAATTTTTTATAGATGATATAATTCCATAGGCATTGTTGTTAATTTACTAATATCCCTTTTTACAGATTTTATGTATTAACCTGGTGATAGGAAATCATTAAATTACAATGATAATGGTCAGTGTAGCAAGAGATTATTCATTTGTGCAATACAAAACTTCAAAAAATATTTTCACAGAACACTTCAATGCTCACTTTGTATATAAAAGGAAGCATGATGTTAATAATAGTAATTGGTGATTATCCTCATGATCATGATGATCGTAATTATGATAATGAAAAAATGGTAAAACAGATAATGATGATAATGATTATCATGATAAAAGAATGATGATAATAATAATGATAGTTATGACAATAGAAATAGTCAAAACAATGATAATTGTAGTATTACTAATGATATGGTTATTATAATAATAACAAGTATAATGAGTATGATATAAATAACAGAGGTAATTGTTATTATATTTATTTTAAGAATATTGACAATAACAATCTAATGACACCATTCCAATATTTCAACATAGTCCGAGCACTCCTGTCTGCCAAGAACAAGTCCTTGATGAACCACACGGAACTGATATCACGTATTGGGGACCTTGAGGGGATGCTTGAGGCCCTAGTGAGAGAGAGTGATGCAGTCACCGAGACACTAAAGGCCCAAGTGTCTGATCTGTCACAGCAGGTTGGTGGAGTCGATGATTTTCCTTGATTTTGTGAGGGTCGCGTGAGGTACATGACTATTCTTTTCTACTGTGGATGTGCTGGTTACAAGTCTAGAAGAGAGATGGTTTATTTTGAATGATTGTTTCTTTAGCTCTGTGTTAACCCCTTTTTTTTTTGTTTTGATGTGATTTGATAAACATTTTGTTAACTGCTAAGAGCAACAACCAAAACTGTTTTTTTTTTTTTTTATAGAGTAGTGTTAAACTTGAATAAACTAATTAATAACTCCAGAGACATATTAGTTTAGACACCACCTAGTGACAAGGTCAGTATTGTCTCAGGTGCCAGAGGCAATACTGACCAAAAAACTAGTAGTCAAATCATAAGTATGATTATGGAGTTAGCAGACTTGTAACACATAGTACATATTACTTTGATATTAATATTGCTATGTATATTTTCATATGTATATTTTGGAGGGCTTATGATACAAATATTACAAGGTTTGAGTGTAACAAATAAACTAGATTTAAAACTCCCACAGTGCTCTTGGTATTACTCTCCAAATGAGCTTGAAAATAGTTACATAAATTTACTATATAAATGAGGGTTAAAAGAAAATTTTTTTTTTTCCTGAGCTCCTCTAACTTATTTTCATTGTGGCGACACAGTTGGAAGTAGCCGACCGTCAGCTTCGGTCCTCCCGCCAATTTTTGGAGGAACATGCCAGTGAACGTGACCAGGAGGTGGAGGATCTCATCCAAGCCAAGGAAAAATTGCAAGTTCAGCTGCGAGAAAGGGACGCTGTCATCACCCAACACGCAAATCTAGAAAAAGAGGTATGGGATGTATCTTTTATCATTGAAAGGAAATCTTTACACACAGTACACTTATGTTGGATTTCTAATGTTCCGTTTCCATTTCTGAATGAGCCTAACATTACTTCACACTGTTGTAAGGCAGGTTTTGAAATTAAAAGTGCTGAGATTAGATTTATCTCTAATGATAAAAAAGAAATATACTAGCATCAAGAAATATCTCAGCAGGATTAATGTAAAACTTGATTAATGAAGAAAAAAAGAATAGATTTACCATACATACATGTTATTCTTTTATTCTTTCTATCACTAAAAGCTGTGTAGGACACATGCATTCCAAAGAAATCACTGATATTGCATCCTTTTCTCAAACTGATAGCAATTGCTTGAAATGCATATGTGCATATGTGCAGTCACATTCATGAAATATGCTTTGTGATATGTTGCTGTCTTTTTTTGTTCTCTATTTTACTGCATGCCATTAATTTCTAGCTTCAGGATTTGCATGGTTTGGTAATTTTTATTTTCTTAGTAGAAGCTTGCTGCAGTATATTTTTTTATAACTGCTTGCCATTATGTGTCTTCTATTCAACTTGTACTTTTGGAAGAGCAGAAGCTTGGGATAAAAGTATAAAAGGGTTATAAAAGGATTAGTTCATTATATACAAAGAGTTTGTGTTTGGATTGCATTTGCATGCATGCATGCTTGTTTGGTGAGTGTGTGTGGATGGGTGGGTGAGTGCGTACGTGCGTGCGTGTGGGTGTGTGCTTGTGTGCGTGCGTGTGGGTGCGTGCATGTGTGCATGTGCCTTTGGAGAGTCATGCATGTCTGCATGTCTGTAGGTGTATAGTTGAGTGCATATTTGCTGCACATGTTTCTGTGTGTGAGGAGTAACACCAAGCTGCTACAAAATTATATGCTTAAACTTATCAATCCTTATTCGTTGCACAGAGTATTAGCCTCCTTTATAGCTCTTCTTTTGTAACTGGGTCTATACATTTGAGAAATCCTAATTCCTAAATTTTCCTGACTGGCCTTTGTAGCATGTTTATTATAAGATAAGATTTTAACATCTTTCTCGTATATGAATAATTATATGTTTGTGAAATGTTGATGTGAATTTGCATGTTATCATAGTTTACTTAATGTTTTTGGAAATGTTGTTATGGTTGATAAGTTGTTATGATTGTACATGTGATTGTATTTCCATTGTAGTGCATCTGTACATAATGAGGAAAAAATGCAGATTAGAATAAATAGGATTATTATGGTTAACTGATTCCTCATTACCGTGATATTAATTATTAACCGAGTTTTGGGTTGAATGTTAGGTAAGTCCTATATAATAGATGGATGCTGGTAAATACAGTATAGTGTAATAAATGCATGATTAAATTGTGTCCTCTGCAAAGAGTAACATATTGTTTGTTTTGTGTGTGCTGTACATTTTGATGCTTGTCTGTGCACTATAGTCTTTTATGTTTTTAATGTAGTGTGTGTGGTTAATTACGCATGTCCATGCATGACAAATTATTAAGTATGATTCACTTCAAATAAACTTTGTGTTCAGGTTTACATTCACTTGAATATTGCGATGATTTGTGAATCAAGATTAAATGAATTAGTAGATGCTGATGAGCATACAGTAGCACCTAATTCACAAGAGAAGGAATGCAACAAATGTCATATTGTGCCGTAGGTGGAGAATTTAGAACGAGATTTACGAGAAAAATCACAGGAACTTCAGGATGCTCTTGCCCTAAAAGAGGAATTGCTAGCTGAGAACAAGACTGCCGTGGATAAGGTAAACGTTGCTGTGTTAGTTTGTTGCACCCGAGCCGTGAGAGATTGCAACTTTTTTTTTTTTTTTTTTCCTTTTTTTTTTTTTTTTTTTTCTTTTTTTCTTTTTTTTTTGTGATCTTAAATCTTTCTAATTCCCTGCATTTACAGAAGAAAAAAAAATTGTTATTGTTTTGGTGTTTGCAATTTGCACACTTTTTGGTTTAGTCATGCATGAATGTGTTTTACATTGCTTTATTTCCTTGTGTTATCTGTACCCATATACAAACATCAAATATTATTTTATCAGCAGCATCCTTCTGTACAGTACTACACCTAATACACATTTTGATTTGATTTGATTTTCTTTATTCATTATGTGATTTTTATAATTATTTAGATTTTTTTTTTTTCTCCCTAATGCTCTTTAGAGCTGATTTGTAATATAAACATGAAATGGAATTGTTTTAAAGAGTGTTTTTATCTAATACAGAAAGTGAAAGGAAGAGGGAGAGGGGGAAAGAAAAAAGAGAGTGAGGAGGAATAGAGGCAGAGAAAGGAAGAGCATGTTAGGAAGCAAGAGGGAAAGGAAAAAAGAGTGAAATTGAGATATCTTTAGCTTGGTTATTAATGTGTGGGGTGCTGGTTAGTACATACTATGCATATAGGGAGTGAAAGGAAGAGAGAGAGAGTGAGTGAGGGAGTGAGTAAATAAAAGGTGGGAGAGCAGCAGAGTGGGTTAAAAGTGAGGGAGAGTGTGAAAGAGAGAGCAAAAGTGAGAAAGAAAGAAAGAGAAAGAGAGAGAAAATATTAATAAGGTGAGGAAGAGGAAGATTAAGATTCAGATTCAGAGAGACTAAGAGAGAGGGAGAAGTAGATAGTAGAGGATAGAATAATTGAAGAGAAGAGGGAGGGAGGTGGCAAATGGAAAGAGAAACCGAAAGAAAAGAGAAAAAGAGAGAAAAGTAGATGAAAGAGAGATAGCGGATGAGTGAGAATAAATAAAAGTTAACACTTCGTAATTGCTTCCCGGATTGTCACTAACAAGTCCTCTCACATTAGATTTGGGACCTTCGAGATATCATACAGTCCCTGGAATCCCAGCTGGATGCCAAATGCGTGCAAGAGCTTGAGGTAAACACCCAGGTTGAGTCCCTAAAATCAACCCTAGCGCAGGCCCAGCGTCACTCCTTGGATCTCACTCAGCAGGTAGAGACGGATCGAGCCGTTGCATCTTTGTGTTTGTTTTGTCATTGGTCTGTAAGAAAGACTAGAGTATTAAATTTACAGGATTAAATGATCTGCATGAGCATGGTAGCTTCCGGTCAAATTACTTTCTAACTTGTTAATCGTTAACAAAGACTTCACAAAGTGTATATTTCACTTACGTGTATTATGAGCAGTAATATAAAACAGTTTAGGGTTGATAACATGGTATTTTAATCAGAATAAATGAAACATGTAGTTGCCATACTAAATTTAGCATACTTGATTTTTTTTGTAACTTTCATGCATGAGATTAGTACTACAATGATATTTGATAATTTAGTTTGTGATAAGTTGTTATGATTGTACATGTGATTGTATTTCCATTGTAGTGCATCTGTACATAATGAGGAAAAAATGCAGATTAGAATAAATAGGATTATTATGGTTAACTGATTCCTCATTACCGTGATATTAATTATTAACCGAGTTTTGGGTTGAATGTTAGGTAAGTCCTATATAATAGATGGATGCTGGTAAATACAGTATAGTGTAATAAATGCATGATTAAATTGTGTCCTCTGCAAAGAGTAACATATTGTTTGTTTTGTGTGTGCTGTACATTTTGATGCTTGTCTGTGCACTATAGTCTTTTATGTTTTTAATGTAGTGTGTGTGGTTAATTACGCATGTCCATGCATGACAAATTATTAAGTATGATTCACTTCAAATAAACTTTGTGTTCAGGTTTACATTCACTTGAATATTGCGATGATTTGTGAATCAAGATTAAATGAATTAGTAGATGCTGATGAGCATACAGTAGCACCTAATTCACAAGAGAAGGAATGCAACAAATGTCATATTGTGCCGTAGGTGGAGAATTTAGAACGAGATTTACCGAGAAAAATCACAGGAACTTCAGGATGCTCTTGCCCTAAAAGAGGAATTGCTAGCTGAGAACAAGACTGCCGTGGATAAGGTAAACGTTGCTGTGTTAGTTTGTTGCACCCGAGCCGTGAGAGATTGCAACTTTTTTTTTTTTTTTTTTCCTTTTTTTTTTTTTTTTTTCCTTTTTTTCTTTTTTTTTTTTGTGATCTTAAATCTTTCTAATTCCCTGCATTTACAGAAGAAAAAAAAATTGTTATTGTTTTGGTGTTTGCAATTTGCACACTTTTTGGTTTAGTCATGCATGAATGTGTTTTACATTGCTTTATTTCCTTGTGTTATCTGTACCCATATACAAACATCAAATATTATTTTATCAGCAGCATCCTTCTGTACAGTACTACACCTAATACACATTTTGATTTGATTTGATTTTCTTTATTCATTATGTGATTTTTATAATTATTTAGATTTTTTTTTCTCCCTAATGCTCTTTAGAGCTGATTTGTAATATAAACATGAAATGGAATTGTTTTAAAGAGTGTTTTTATCTAATACAGAAAGTGAAAGGAAGAGGGAGAGGGGGAAAGAAAAAAGAGAGTGAGGAGGAATAGAGCAGAGAAGGAAGAGCATGTTAGGAAGCAAGAGGGAAGGAAAAAAGAGTGAATGAGATATTAGCTGTATTAGGAGCCATGTTAGGAAGCAAGAGGGAAAGGAAAAAGAGTGAATTGAGATATCTTTAGCTTGGTTATTAATGTGTGGGATGCTGGTTAGTACATACTATGCATATAGGGAGTGAAAGGAAGAGAGAGTGAGTGAGTGAGTGAGTGAGTGAGTGAGTGAGTGAGTGAGTAAATAAAAGGTGGGAGAGCAGCAGAGTGGGTTAAAAGTGAGGGAGAGTGAGAAAGAGAGAGCAGAAGTGAGAAAGAAAGAAAGAGAGAGAGAAAATATTAATAAGGTGAGGAAGAGGAAGATTAAGATTCAGATTCAGAGAGACTAAGAGAGAGGGAGAAGTAGATAGTAGAGGATAGAATAATTGAAGAGAAGAGGGAGGGAGGTGGCAAATGGAAAGAGAAACCGAAAGAAAAGAGAAAAAGAGAGAAAAGTAGATGAAAGAGAGATAGCGGATGAGTGAGAATAAATAAAAGTTAACACTTCGTAATTGCTTCCCGGATTGTCACTAACAAGTCCTCTCACATTAGATTTGGGACCTTCGAGATATCATACAGTCCCTGGAATCCCAGCTGGATGCCAAATGCGTGCAAGAGCTTGAGGTAAACACCCAGGTTGAGTCCCTAAAATCAACCCTAGCGCAGGCCCAGCGTCACTCCTTGGATCTCACTCAGCAGGTAGAGACGGATCGAGCCGTTGCATCTTTGTGTTTGTTTTGTCATTGGTCTGTAAGAAAGACTAGAGTATTAAATTTACAGGATTAAATGATCTGCATGAGCATGGTAGCTTCCGGTCAAATTACTTTCTAACTTGTTAATCGTTAACAAAGACTTCACAAAGTGTATATTTCACTTACGTGTATTATGAGCAGTAATATAAAACAGTTTAGGGTTGATAACATGGTATTTTAATCAGAATAAATGAAACATGTAGTTGCCATACTAAATTTAGCATACTTGATTTTTTTTTGTAACTTTCATGCATGAGATTAGTACTACAATGATATTTGATAATTTAGTTTGTGATAAGTGTTATTACCTAACTGCAACCTCTCAAAATGAAATTAAACCCAGCTGGAAGAGGTGCAGTGTGCAAGAGGTGAGGATAGTACTGGTTATGGAGAGCATGTGTCCACACGCCTCTCTCGCATCGGCGCCCCAGAGGAAGAGGAGAATGAGGCCCAGCATGCGAGCTCCTCCCTGTTCCAAGAGCTGACTCTTGAGGGCGGGCTGGCCACTCAGAATGCCGAAGGACAGACTTTGGTAATGGACTGTGGATGTTTGCCCTCAGTTTTGGATTTTTTTTTTTTTTTTCCTTTTCTTTTCTTTTCTTTTCTTTTCTTTTCTTTTCTTTTCTTTTCTTTTCTTTTCTTTTCTTTTCTTTTCTTTTCTTTTCTTTTCCTTTCTTTCTTTTCTTTTCTTTTCTTTTCTTTTCTTTTCTTTTCTTTTCTTTTCTTTTCTTTTCTTTTCTTTTCTTTTCTTTTCTTTTCTTTTCTTTTCTTTTCTTTTCTTTTCTTTTATGTACTTTTGGGCTGTTCTTCCTGTTCTGTCTATTTGTCTGTCTGTCTCCTTATCTCTCTATCTCTCTATCTCACTCCCTCCACTTTACTCTCTGTCTGTTGCTCTCTCCTTCTCTCTCCTTCTCTCTCTTTCTCTCTCCTTCTCTCTCTTTCTCTCTCTTTCTCTCTTTCTCGCTTTATCTCTCTCTCTTTCTTTCTGTCTCTTTCTCTTTCTCTTTCTTTCTGTCTCTTTCTCTTTCTCTTTCTCTTTCTCTTTCTCTTTCTCTTTCTCTTTCTCTTTCTCTTTCTCTTTCTCTTTCTCTTTCTCTTTCTCTTTCTCTCTCTCTCTCTCTCTCTCTCTCTCTCTCTCTCTCTCTCTCTCTCTCTCTCTCTCTCTCTCTCTCTCTTTCTTTCTCTCTTTCTCTCTTTCTCTCTTTCTCTCTCTCCTTCTCTCTTTCTCTCTTTCTCTCTCTTTCTCGCTCTCTTGCATTCTCTCATTCTCATTCTGATTCTCATTCTGTCTTTCATTCTCATTGTCTTTCCCTCCCACACTCCCTTGAATTTCAAATCCATTTTTCTTTCTCTTCAAAACATTGATTTGAGACATTTGTATAGACCTCCATGTCTGTTGCTAGTTGGAAGCTTGTCTATTAGCAATTAGTACATGATTTTAGGTTTTCAGGTGATATTTATCAAGGAAAATGACCTTTAAAATCATTATGCTTTACAGGCAACCATTTAGCATTACCATTATGCACTCATTGGAGTTTTAAGTTTGAATCAGAAAAGTGTTATATTTGTCATACTGATTACAAATGTAATACTGAAAGCAACTAATTAATGCTTTCAGTTGATTGTTTTGACTGTAATGGGACTAAATTCAGAAGTGAATCTGATAAGTATGTGTTAATCATAAAGCTACATTTTGTCATACTAACTATTTTTGCATGAAAGTTCATAAAAGAAAAATTTAAATAAAAATTCCAGTGAATAACATCTTTAAAGAAAAGTTTACCAAAGCCATGATGATCAGTTAAGCTACTGCATACCATCAAATTTGAATTATAAACTTTCCAGTTTGTTTGAGTAATTATTATTATTATTATTATTATGATTATTTGAAACAGCTTCAGGTGATTGAAGACAGGCTGGACAGAACTACAAGAGGCCTTGAGGCGCTGCAGCTATCCATCTCCTCTGCTTCTCAGTCCGAGGAAGACTTGTCTGTCAAGTAAGAGTTCTTTTTTCTTCTTCTTCTCTTTCTCAGTATGGAAAGTCCTGACAGTGTTTAGGATAGTTGAGAGGTGATGTTGTTTTTTAGATGGGCTCTTACATTATGTTGGAGAAAAAGAGATGAATGGTAGTTGATTTCACCTGTGCAGCTGGTATTTTGGTACTGTAGCACTCTTTCCTTACATATCTCTGATGAAAATAAAGAACACTGTAATATAAATTCTGCAGTTTACCCTATTTTGTTTTATGCCTCCAACATTAGCCACAATGAACTTTGAACTTTATGGTTTAACTTAACACTGATAATGGTATCACAGAGATCACCTGGACATCCCATCTTTACGCGAGCTGGAAAGCAGCCGAGCCTTGTCTCCATCCACTCTGGACAGGCGCCTGGAGGATAAGTTAATGATGCTAGAGCGCACCACGGAAGCGGCAGTTAAGCGCACACGGGACCTGGAGATGACTGTCAAAAATCTAAGGCTGGATCTAGATGTATGTGGTTTTGTTTAGAATCATATATCTTAGGGATTGGTGGTGATGATTGCAGTAAGTTTTAGCATATTTGTGTTATTCAATTCTTATATATTACGCACAAGGATAAAGAATGGTTACCCACTGTCTTTCAGGAGGCAATAATAGAGCGAGATGCCCTCCAAGAGCGGTCAAGTGACCAGCTCGTTAAAATCTCGAGCCTGGAAGCACGGCTGGATGAGCTCAGGAGGTCAGACCATCCCATGGCTGCGGAGATGAGACAGCGGTTCACCCTGGTTCAGGAGGACTTGGAGAAGAAAAGGAATGAGTTGGCAATAAAAGGAAGAGAGGTAATGCATTTCTGTTTTTATTAAATATAGTTATATATATATATATATATATATATATATATATATATATATATATATATATATATATATATATATATATATATATATATATAATGTATTTATTTATTTATTTATTTATTTATTTATTTATTTATTTATTTTTATTATTATTTTTTTTCAAAGGTAGTTGTTGAAAATATTAAGAAATGTGTGTAGATTTTTATACTGTACTTGATTTTTTTTTTTTTTCTGTTTTGGCTAAGTTTACAACTATTTTGATGCTGATTCAGTATTAAATCTTTTTTAGTGATATACATCATCAGGAAATAAAGGAAAGATGTTAGAAGGCAAAAATATATGATCATAGAATTTTGCAAGAGTATTTAATTAAGATTGTTAAAATTGTTTTCATTGAGCTTTGTAGATTTGATATTTTCCTGTCTTTCCTGTCTAACTTCTGAAGTTATCCAGAAAAGGGATTCAAATCTTTATCTTTATGTCATACTGGTTGTCCAAACTTTTAGGTTGAGGAGCTACGATTCAACCTGAACGACCTCCGAGGAAAGTTGTTGTCCCGTGAAGACGAGTTGCAACGACTGCTGTCTGTTTCACAGCCTCACAGTCTGCCCCAGTCATCAGCTGAACAGCTCCTGGCCAAACACCAGCAGCTGGAGGATGAGCTTAAAGCAAAATCTGATGTGATTGAAAAGTTAAAGGTAATTGAATACAAATACAAATAAACTTCGGTCTCCTCTGTATGAGGTACAAGTTTTGCACAACAGTATTTGAGGTTCACAAGAAGCGTCAGATTTTTTATTAGTTGCAGGATTCAGTCCTTTTATTCCATTCAGTACCATGTCATAGAATTCCCTTGCCTGTTCTGTGCATTCCGCTGTCATCCCACCCCATCCCAGGAAAGCACTCTTCACCATGTTCCATTTTCTTTGCATCTCATTAGTTCCTGTCCTTTCCCATGATAAATATTCATAGGTCACTTAGCCAAGTTGGAAAAATAAAGTTATTTGATTTGCAGAATGAATTGTCTGATACAGCCAAGGGAAGTGGAATGTCCTCTGTGCTTTCGTATCGTCTTTTGGATGACAAAAATGCTGAAATTGACAACCTGGCTCAGCGTCTAGAGGATGTGAAAACCAGAATTAAAGAAGTGACTTTACAGCTGTTGCAGAATGGAAATGTGGAGGAAGCAGTGAACATGGTATGCAGGAGTTCTCTAAAGTATCTTTGAAAATTGGGCTATAATGTCTGAAACGGTAGATTATCTTCTTTATTAATTTGACTGCTTTTTGCTGCCAGTTCATGCAACATGATTATATATTTCTGTATTGTATATTAATTTGAATGTACATTTGGGAGAAAGTGTACATTGTTTTTTCTAAACTCGCCATGGTATATTGTAATATGCCTTTTCTTTTTCTTCCTGTCCTGAATATGATATAGTGTATTTGGTTAATGAATAAACTATAAGTGATTTGTCTCTCCCCTTTGTTTATAGCTGATTCTCTAAAGAGAAAGTTTTTTATTTACAGCTGAAAAGAATTACTTTTGATGGGAAATTCCATGAGACTCTGGATGACAATACACACAGCCTGGAAGTGTTAAGGAGAGGTCCAGTGGAGGTTTCTCCGAGCTTGACTCCAATAATGGTTAGTTGAATGGTATAGGAGCAGGTGAAACAGGTTTTTTTTATTAGAATAATTCTTTAAACAATATTTGAGTATTGTTCTGGAAATATACTTAGGTTTGTGAGTAATGGCCTGTTTTCTTTTTCTTTTATTTTCTTTTCTTTTATTTACCTTCTTCTTCTTCTTCTTCCTTTTTTAGATTAAGTGCATTATATAAATGAATTTCAATAAATGTAGGAAAATATGTCTATCACAGTTAAGAGTAAATAAAAGTGAGAGAGGCTTGGAAGGATTGTATGCACACTGTAATGATATTTTATTTAATGATATTTTATTGTAGGTACCAGACTCCAAGGAAAAATCCATACCCATAAGCCAGGAAGAAGACACAATTACCACACAGTCATCCCAAGACTTGTCGTTAATGTCAGTACAACCGGATGTCCTGACGGTTCCAGATAATCTGGCCTACGAGACATTATCAGCTTCAACTGAATTGAAACAGGTAATTGTAATTTCATTTTCTTGTTATGGATATTTGCTGGAAAATGGTTCAGTCAAGTTGAAATTAGCCACTCATCTTAACCCAACTGCCCTGGATATATGTTCTGTCCCTTGTAGTTTTTTGTGAATGTTGTTACATACAGATGGCTCCATATGTGCTCAGTCGGCAAGGAGTCCATAAGTAGCCCTAGTGACTGATCCTGATTTTCCCATTCTTTGAATTGGTGGAAATTTTATTTATTTATTTATTTATTTTTATTTATTTATTTTTTTTATAATACAGTTGACATCAATACTGTTATGATTGTTATAGGTGTTATGATTATTAAATTGTTATTAAAATCTCTATAACATTGAAGACAATGAAATAATGCAAAAGACCCTTTCCAAAAGTTAAAGAAAAGGGTAAACATGTGAAATAGGTAGGACTCATAACTGACTCCTTGGTGACTAAGCACTTGTATAGCCATCTATGTGTTAATCCAATAAATAAACTTGTATTACATTGGGCATGGCATGTATTCTTGCCATACGTGACAATTGGGTTAAAAGAGTACTGCATTGCTATTTATGTGGCAGATTAAAATAATTTTGGAGAATTTGTGTTCATTTTTCTCTCTAGGAGTTTTATGTTTAGGATCCAAATTTCTATGTTGAATAAAGAATAATATCACACTATATTGATTACCCCTTGTGAATGAGTCTTCTATTTACATGTATGTATTTTGACAGGTGTTAAATGACGTGATTGAAGGCAGGGATAAAGAAACTGCTGGGGCTTCTTTAAATGAAAGGGAAATGGGACCAGCTGAGGTTAGTACATTTAGATATGAGTAGGTTGTAGTCTGTAAGAAGTGAGTAGTGATTAGTTGAAATTTCTTTTCTTTTATTAGCATGTTATAATTTTTTTTTTTAGCTTTGTTGTGAAGTAAAGAGAGATGAAGAAAATTGACCAGATGCTCCACTTTTTTTCCCATAATTTTTGTGGGGGGATGACAGTTTTTTTTCTTAAAAAAAGATAAATAAATAAAAGAGACTTGACTAGGATTACTGGAAAGATCTTGAAAATAGAGACATGGGATTTTTTTCTTTTGAGGGCTTTGTGATTGGGTTTGTGAAATTTGGTTGCTCACTGAAGTATCTCCTTTTCTGCATATTATTGATTTGTGTTAATAGCCTTTTTTTTGGCATTAGGTAACAGATTAGTATATATTGTTTTTTTTTTTTGTGACATTGCTATTTATTTATATATTGAAAAAATTCTACTGCATCAACATTAGCAACATATTCCAAATATAGTGATAGGGTTGGGATTGGGTTCAAAGGCATGACACCAAAGGTATTATAGCATTATGATAATGTACTGTGGCAAAAAGGTAAAAATCAATTACTGATTAGGATAAGTGGACAGAAGAAAGGGATGAAGAAGAAAAGGAAAGGGAAGGGGGTAGAAGAAAAGACCATGTAAAATTAGTTGAGGCCAAGGGCTGAGGTCCAAGGTGATCCCCTACATTGGGCCTCTGTCTCCATCTCCTTAGCCCCCATGACAGCAGTGACATTACTAGGCAGAAGATCCACAAACGGAAGTCTCTCTTAACGCCACGAAATGAATGGTAGAATCACCTCGGCTCTGTACAGTTGTATTAACCCCTTGTTCGCGGGTGGCATTTACAATGATGCCATAGTGGCGTAGTGCTGATGCTGCAGGTGGCAGCCCTACAGATGTGACTCATACCCATTTGCTGGACAGCACGGCCACCGAAAAAGCCCGCGCACATTGGGTTGAAGAAATCTCTGTGTCATTTTTAAGGGTTATTACTTATATTGGTTTATTTTTTTCATCCTCCCACTATCAAGTTTAATATATATACTTTTATACTTGTATGAATTTTCTAAAAGTACAGACATTTTTTTCATTTCTGGCTTGATTTTTTTCCTTTTTTTTTTTTTTTTCATCCTTCTCTGTCTTTTAGTGTTTTATTTTCGTTCTGTTCTCTGTGTTATGAAGGAGGGAATTGAACCCAGGTATGGAAAGCCTTCACCTCCAGAGCAGACAGCTACTTGTGGAGAAATTACACTTACCCGAGAAGACTATGAAAACCTCTGTTCTGCTAGTGATGAAGTTACTGTCCTTAGAGTTGAAATTGACCTTTTGCAGAAGGAGATAATCAGCTTAAATGACTACCAGGTAGATGAGTTCCGGCAAGGAGGAGATGCAGATGGCTTGAATTGTTGTCAGCCTTGCCTGCTTCCGAGAACTAACCACTATTGTGCATAAGACTATTGTGATATACAGTGCCTGTTTGAGTTCTAACAACTGTATGGAAGACTGTTGACCAATGACTGCTGGCACTCTGTAGTTCGTAGGCAGACGTTTGAAATAACAAGAGAAGTGTTTGATTCGCCGACGTGTTTGTGGATTAGTACTGAATG